TTGTGTGTGAGCGTGCTCTGCCCTGCCTGGCTGTAGCCCCACTGCCCAGTGGTGTCCAGCACCTGGGAGCAAGGCGCACACACACTGCACTGCAGTTTAGTTCAGAGCTGCTTCCGCCTTCTCCTCCCCATCTGGCCTTGTAGTAAGAGGCAACACACTGCCTTTTACCTCCCCCAGCCAATTTTTCTCCTTGTGTTTTCCCAGGCAGCAAAGAGCAGCTGGGGGTTGGGCAGTAATGAGATGACAATGTGGAAGGCCTAAGTGCTTTTTCTTATTGGCAAGCACATTGTAAGGGGCCTGTGTGCCCAGGACCAAGAGGCAAATAAAAAAACTACACCAGCTGCCCCAGTCCTGTGAAAGGCGGAGACAGCAGCAGAGGCAGGAAGGAGTGAGGCTCAGCAGTGCAGTTTTGCTACTGCCTGAGTGAGGCAGTGTCTGAAGAGCCAGTTATCCTGGGATCAGCGGGTACTCGGAGTACACAGGAGCCCGGGCAGGATGGTAGTGCTTCTCCCTTCCCCATACTACTAGGGGAATCCAGCCAGCAGCAAAGGCGTGACACAGGTGGCCAGCCCCAGCTGGATCTGCTGGGAGGCAGCAAGACGGATCCTGGAGGCAGAGGCCTGGCGCTGCCCCTGGGCTGGAAGCTGTGTAGCACTACGAGAGATAAGGGGCTCTGCTGCCAGTGAGTTCTTCCAAATGGTGTGTGCGTGCACACAAAGAAAGAGGCTACACTTTCAAATTCCCTTTTAGTACCAGCGGTGGCCTATTCTTAGAACAAGGCCACTCCAGCTCTCCAGTTCCCTGCTCTGTCGGTGCTGGTCTCTGCAGTTTGCACAGGGGAGCTTGCGGGGGGCTGCAGCCTGATACCACCAGGGTGGACCAGGGGTGAGGAGGGCTGGTAGAGCTGAGGGCCAAGACGGTGAAGGAATCTGCGGTGCAGTGCGAGGAGCAGCAGCAACCCAACAGGCCCTGGCTTCAGCACAACTGTAGCTACAGCTGCAACAATGCTTCCAGCTGCTGGCACACTGCAGCTTGGGGGCTTTACAGTTGCCCAAAGTTACCCTGCCTGGCAGTCAGCCCCTGCAGCGCCCTTGGAAGGCACTTCATAGATTTCATAGACATCAGGGCTGGAAGGGACCTCGGAAGATCATCGAGTCCAGCCCCCCGCCCAAAGGGCAGGAAGTCAGCTGGGGTCATAGGATCCCAGCAAGATAAGCATCCAGTTTCATCTTGAAGGAAATAATGAATGTCAGTGGAAGAATGCAGCAGTTGAAAGCTTCACCAAAGCTGAAGCTCCCTGGGAATGCAGAAGATGACGGAAGTTGTCAGAGGCCTATAATGTGTCAGGGATGTACTTGGTAGCTGTGTCGGTCTGAAACAAAAAGGAATACAAAAATCTAGAACTCTTGGTTCCAAAATAATACCTTTTATTAGACCAACTGAGAAATCACAAAAAAATAATCTTTTTCTGCAAGCTTTCGGGCTCAAAGGTCCTTTATCAGGCTCTGGGAAAAGTATAGATGGTAACCACTAATGTTGTATTTCAGAGGCCTATAAAGCATTATTGAGTCTGGGGAGACTGGGGAGGAATTTGATAATAGTCTTCAAATACCTGCAGGGCATTTTATAGAGAGGATGAAGATGGGCTTTTCTCTGGCCATAAGGGAGAGGACTATGAACAACAGATTCAAGCTACAGCAGAGGAAATTTACATTGGAGATTAGGAGAAACTTTCTGACTATGAGGGTGGTGAAGCATTGGAACAGGCTATCTTGAGTAGTTGTAGAATCTCCAAGCTGGGAAATTTTCAAAAGCAGTTTGGGCAGACACTTGGCTGGTATGGTTTAGTGAGAGAGAATTCTGCCTTGGGCAGGGAGCTGGACTAGATGACCTCATGAGGTCCCTTCCAGCCCTACTTTCCTTTGATCCTAGAAAAAATGAAATAGATTTCAGCTGCTTTCACTTTGTACCTGGGACAAAGAGTAGTAGTGAAAAAGAAAACTAGTAGGTAATCTTATCCTTCCAATAGCAAATGTTTTTAATTGTTTTCAGTTAACTCAGGCAACGAAGGCTAACTATGAAACTTTCTGAGTGTCACACTCCATATAAAAATTAAACATGAAATATACATTGTTAACCTGGAGCAGATTCTGTTCCAAGATAAGATCCACAAGATGTGGTTGTATTTTCCACAGTGACCCAGAAAGCAGGTAGAGGGAAGGACAGCATGGGAAGAATGTGCTAATGCACACAGAAGTAATAGGTAGGCTAGTTATAGCTGCAGGTATACTTTGATTGCAATTCAGATAATTATTAACATTAGATTAAGTAAAAAATATCTGATTTTAGGTATGGGCAGTAGTGCAGCTACAGACAGACTGTTAAGGTCAGCATTAAGGTATTCAGAAGTGTAAGTTTGTAACGTGTGTGGATCTCTGCCAAGTCTCTCACACCTGCAAACATAAATATAACCTTTTCTTACCTCTCCCCAGTGTTTTCGCTCATTCTTTCTTCCCCCCAGTCAGTTTCCTCACCACCTGTGCCATCACCTTCTAGCCTAGTAACTCCCATCTGGTCATCCTGTATATTCTTAAACATGAACAATTATATCAAGATGTCAGTTTTCATGTGCACATATCTCATTTGTGTAGGCAGCTGCAGCACAAGTACACAAGTTAGGTAGGCCTTGAGAAAAAGTATGTGCATACTGTTTCAAGGTTCAACAGCTTAGTTACACTCTGCCAGTGATTCTCAACTCTTTAGATTCAAGGCAGCCCTCCATAATTTTTCTGGATGTAGTGGCACACCAGTTAAGAACCACTGTTTCAGTGGTATAGCTTATTGGTTCTGTGCCCTGGGCATAGAGGGGTTGAGGAGGGGGGTTGTATCGAGAGTAGAAGGTGGCAGGTGCAGGTGGGGCAGGCAGTCTTATTTGCTACTGCATGGGTTCACCCAGAGGCTCCAGGCACACAGAGGGGAGAGACCTGGGGCAGAGTCCCCTCATGAGCCTCATTCACCCTCTCATAGTTGCCAGTAATCTGCATGTAGATCCTGGCCATAAAAGCCTTAATTTGACAGTGGTGTGGAAGGGTTAACACAATAGCTGTTGCCATACAGCATGGAAAGAGGGGGAGCCAGATTTTAACAGGAAGCCAGGCAGATCTTTGCCCCGTACCCGTTTCTAGAAGAGGGTGTGCTGGGCCGACTAGGAAAGGCTGCAGTATAAGAGCTCCTGCTGCAGCCATGTCCGGGTCCTCCAGTGGCACTGGCTCTGCAGGACCCCATTTGAGAACTACTGCTACATGCACTCGCTGCATTGCCAAATCATTGTGTCATCTTAATGATCCATTAGTATTCAATTCCCACTTAGTACCTAACCTTTTAAATCTAAAATGAATACTAAGTTACTGTGTTTTTAGAGCACTTTATTTAAAGTGTTATTGGGAATTTAAATATAGTGCTTTTAGAATTTTAATTTGGGATTGTAAAAGCTTGTGTTTTACTCAGATTTATCCAGCAGATGATGTTAAATCCTTTTTTACAAGGGTAATTATATAATGAGTTTGATAATGAGTGTATTAGTTTAGTGAGTGAGAGCCATTGATAAACATTTTCACTCTCCCTTCGGCTGTTTTCATTTCTAATGTTAAAAGACTGATGAAGCTCTGAAGTGCAGTAACTCCAAAGTAAATTATTTTAACCTATGAGATTAAGTGCCTGATCTAATGGGGTATGTGAGGTTATTATTCTTAAACACTCATGTAGCAGGCCATTTACCATGAGAGCAGTGACCCAGAATGACTGTTCCACATGCAGAGATACCATGCTTATTTTTGAGTACATGCTTTTGCTGCCATAGCCCACAATAAACACATTAGGGATAAAAAAGGTGTGGGAAAATATGTAACACTACTGACTGCACAGAGTAACTACCAATCAGGGCCGATCTTGTGTGTTCCTTTTGTTTTTTAAGGCTGTCAATCCATCTCAGGAGGGGTCAGCGGGCTTAGTTTAAAGCCTGGTGGAGCAGGTCAGCCAGTCTGGCTGAGAAGAGCCTCCTCCCTAGGGGAGAGAGGTGGAGGCCATCTCTTCCCAGCAGCTCGCTGCCTCTCTCGCCAAAGAGCGGGCTGTGGTCATGAAAGCCAAAGCCTTCCTGACGACACCAGCGCTGCAGTCTTTGGTTGACCACATAGATCCTCCTGTCCCTCCTCAGCCCATAGCCTGAGACTGGGAGGATCGACGAAAACACTACCTGTGCCCCCAGACCCTTAAGCCCCGCTCCCAAATCCCTGTAGCACCTCATGACCTGGCTGGGAGTGCTCCGAGCAGTGTCATTGGTGCCCACATGAATAAGGAGCATGGGATAGTGGTCTATCGGTTTAAGGAGCTTTGGGATCCTCTCCGTAATGTCCCGGATGCGGGCCCCCGGGAAGCAGCAGACTTGCCGGGCTAAGGGGTCGGGGTGGCAGATTGGCCCCTCAGTCCCCCTCAGGAGGGAGTCTCCCACAACAAACACCTTACGTTTTGTCTTGGGGAGAGCAGGGGCGGGAGCTGCAGTTGGGACCACGTTGCCTGTGGGGGCCGGCAACTCTAGCAGGCTCTGCTGGGGCAGCAAGAGGTGCGGACCTGTTGCTCAGTTCTGGTGGAGTAGGGGCCTTGGTGCGGCGGGCCTTAGGGCCCTTGCCCACCGTGGTCCATGCCCCTGGCTGGACACAGCAGGAGGTCCCAAAGTTACCTGTGAATAAAGCTTCAAAAGCAGCAGGCATCAATGCAGGCAAGAGGGTGCAAGCAAGGCTGACAGATGAACTTGGAGAGAGATCAGGTGAGTGAGATTAGCCTGTGGGAGGCTCCCAGGGGAGAGGGTAGAAGCTGCATTGCTTCAGCCATGTAGCAGGACCCTGCAGGGTTGTTCTGCTGCTTACAGCAGCAGGAGGGGACAGACCAGCAACTAGCACCTTCCCTCCACCTACCTCCAAGACCACCAGATGCATACCAGTTGCTTTAGTCACCATTTATTTCCTCTCCAGCTGCTTGTGGCTTAGGTGTTAGTTCTCTGTACAGCAAGAACAAAACAGGAAATGCAGGGAGGGAAGTGCAACCATGACACCTGCTAGCCCAGAAAGGACAGTCCCCACTCACAGTCCATTCTCCAGCTACCGCTTCTTCTCTTGGCCTTTTCACATCCAGCTGTGACGGCCAAAGACAGTCACGTCCCAGGCAGCCTTGGAAGGTGCTAGTGCTCAGATCCTAGAAAGGGGCTGGCTCCAGCTTCTCCATGAGGGATTTGATCCAGCTTGTCCCGTTGATTAACTTGGTGGTGGCGATGACGTACTCTGTGCCTCCATCTTCCATCTGGGACAGAAACCTCAGTGCAGCAATCTCTGCGTAGGTCACGCCTCCCAGGAAGAAGACCAGAGTGACGCGATTCTCCCCATGCTGACCTGCATGTAGAGGGGTTTGCAGCGTGTCAGTCAGCTGCGTGAAAAATGGAGGGAAGGGGGAGGGGTTGCAAAGAAGCAGTGCTAGTGGGAGGGGGCTAACCCAGGCCTGGGGCCCATGCTGCACTGCCCCCTCCACTCCTCAACTTCCCCATCTGTAATGGGGTGACTACAGTGAGCGCCCTGGAAAAGCTACGCCTGCTTATTCCAAAAGAGAAAAGCTGCCACACACAAGCGCTTACGTTTTTTTTGCAGGCCCGTGGGGAGTTGCTGCCTCTCTTCGAAGTGGGGGCCTGGGAGCATCTTCAGAACCTCTTCTATGCTACGCCAGCCCGGGCGTGCGAGCAGCTGGGCCAGACGCACGCTTAATGGAGCATAACCGCTGTACACGTAGGAGATGTCATTGGGATTCTGGGGAAGGAGAAGGAAGAGAGGGGAGCGTGAGTGCAAGTCAACAAGGTTATCAAAGTCACGCAAGTACAAGACAACCCCTACACACCCACACCCGCTGTTGTGCACAGGTCGGCGTGTTCAGGGCAGACCAGTCAGACAATAAAATATTCAGTTTACCTGTTCGTTAACATCATCCATCCACAGCCGCAAGGTTTTTCTGATGGTTGGGTAGTTGTTTCTCCCACTTGTCTGAGGTTTTAAGAGTCCAGCCTTTTCCAGGTTGTTTAAAGTCAATATATGTTCGTAGCCGTAAGTCTGTAACACGAAGAGGCAGTGCCAGTCAATATATATGCAGAGGTGAAACCAGGTGATTTTTACACCAGCTCCTTCAAAGGAAATGAGCAGTTGGGTGTTCTGAAGTTCTCAGAGCCCTCACCAAGGTTTCCTAAGTGACATGCTTTAAACAAAACATTCAATAAAACAATTCTGGCAATTTGTTAAGACTGGGTGATGCTACTTAGTGTGCAGAACTGAAATACATGCTCACAACTACCTACCTTTTGGCAGAAGGCAAAAACTGCAGATAGACAATAGACTAGAACATGAGAAAGTGATACCTGGTTTCAATAAAAGGAAGCAGCGAGCTATTTTGATTTAAAATGTCCCTCAGGGAGTAAATTACTGGCTGTAAAACTTCCCACCTGCACTCACTCAGATACTAAACAATAGCGTAAAAACAGACAGGCATGGATGCTTTCATCCTGTCAAGATTTACAAATGGTGCTTAGCTTGCACACATTAATAGTCCCAAAGAAATCCCCAGGATCACACACATGAAGAGGTGCAGGGGGTGCAGCTGTCTAGCGCTGAGGCTTTAATGTGGCTTTGCACTGTGATTTATTGACTCTGAATAACGACAGCCTGACCTGGATAATCTCTCTCTTATAGTGGTCCAACACCTTCTGCTTGAGCCCGCTGTTACATACTGACTGCAGGCAAACGAGCCGTAGTATCTTGATCAATGGATGTTTTTGAGCAATGCAGTCTTCAACATAATTGTTAACCTATAAAACAAATGAGCAAGCTGTCAGCTGTCACAACCCAAGGGTGTGATTTTGTGTGCGCGCGCTTCGGCACTGCTAAATTATTTCCCGCCAC